ATCTATCTATCTATCTATCTATCTATCTATCTATCTATCTATCTCTGTTTGAGGAGATGCTATATCAGGAAAAGTTAATACTGTAGCAACAAATAGAAATGGATATCTTGAAAAATTTGCAGAACTTCCCAGCTGCCATTGCAAGAATCTTTGGAAAGCTTATAACATATTAGCAGTTCTGCATTTGAGAAACTTCCCCACTATGCCAGCATCCTGCTGCAACTGGGAAGTGCCCTTGGCGTTATGTGTGAATGCAATTGTTCTGTTCAAACCAATTCCTACTGCAGTGACTTGCTATGATCATTTATATGATGGGAACAAGCATATCTGTTCCTGCGCAAAGTAATCCCGATGCCTATTGTTCTATTTTTATTTATTTATTTATCAGTTTTTTACACCACCCGTCTGACACTTAAATTGTTACAAATCTTTGCTAGGTTTTCCCTTCTACATGGTATTATTTGACAAAGAAGGCAACAAGCAATTCTCCCCACCACTTCTTTCTCACCTCTTTGCCAAAACGTTCGATTCCCTGGGTGATTTCCTTTAAACTTGGGACGTCAATTGAATCCATCGCCACCACTAAGCATTGTTTTTGATCCCGAATTCGGATGCCAATCAGATGCTAGGAGCAAAAATAGAAGCAACATGCTCGGAATAAGTGAAAGGATTTTGAGACTGTAAAATGTTAGAAAAATATACCAAAGAGAGGTGAAACCAAGGAACCGACTATCCCAAGAGCTGGTGGACTCCCTTTCGTTGGATATTTTCAAGCAAAGGCTAGACAGCCATCTGCCAGGGATGTTTTAATTTGGATTTCTGCACTGATTAGGAAATTGGACTCAATAGCTGGACTCAACGCTGAAGTAAAAAGGAGTCCCTGAGGATTTTACTCCGCTAATCGTTGCCGATTCTAGGGGCAATGCTCATCTCTGTTTCAAGGCCATTGAGCCAGCACTGTCCGAAGACATTTCTGCAGTCATGTGGCCAGCATGATATCACAGGGCGCTGTTTCCTTCCCACCGAAGTGGTACCTATTTATCTACTTGCATTTGCCCCCATTTTATGACTTTTCTCACCACAGTTGTTAAGTGAATTGGTTTTGCTTGTCAGAAGGTTGCCAGAGGGGTTCACATGACCCCAGGACACTGCAACCATCACAAATATGAGTCAGTTGCCAACCATCCGAATTTTAATCACAGGGATGCTGCTACCGTTTAAGTGCAAAAAACAGTCATAAGTCATTTTTTTCAGTGCTGTGGTAACGTTGGATGGTCACTGAATGAACTGTTGCAAGTCAAGGACTTACCTAAATAAAGAGGAAACATTATTTCAACATGAAGATAACTCAAGGCAACTTAAGCCAGCCTCAGTCACGAGCTGCGGACTAGATGAAGTTAGCATGAAGGCGTAGCAGAAAAATGATATTGCAAGGGCAGGTTTGTGCCATGGTAATGAGTGGAGCAAAGCCATTAAGCCCCTCAATGGAAAAGCAGAACTTTATGGGGGAATATTACAGTTGGTTTGGAATATTTCTTACATGTTTGTAGTCGTAGACAACTGTGGCTGAAGTCTTATTGGTCTTGATCAAAAATGCAGCCACTCTTTCCTGATTGTTCACCATTGTGGTCCTCTCCACGGTCTGACCATCCTTTCCGTGGCTGATGGTTTTGATTATCTGCACAAGAGAGAAGACACAACTAGGAAGCATATTTTGTGCATTCTTCTTTATTGGCATAATTCGTCTCAAAGAGGCCACCCTAGCGGTCACTGTATGGGTAATCCTCAATTTGTGGCTACAATTGGGACCAGAATTTCTGCTGCTAAGCAAGGTGGCTAGGTGCCTGATTTTATGAACTTTTATTGCCATGGTTGTTAAATGAGTGACACGGTTATTAAGTGAATCCAGCTTCCCACATTGACTTTGCTGCTCTGAAGATCACGAATGGCAAGCACGTGGCCCCGGAAAGCCTCAGCCATCCCACGTTCTAAAATAAACTCAATCTTCTTTCTCTTTCATTTTCAATGTCAATCTATCCATTTCTGCACAATCTATTTTTTTTTTAATTAACCCTTCCTCCGTTGATAAATCTTCATTTTTCCAATGTTGAGCGAATACAATTCTTGCTGCAGTTAATGCATGTAAAATTAGATATATACACTCTTTCTCATAATTTCCTACAATTATGCCTAACAAAAATAGTTCTGGCTTAAGATCAATGTGTTTTTTAGTCATTTTCTCTAACCAGCTAAGTCCCGAATTTTGGACTGTAGGGATGCTGCAAGTGCAAGAACTGGCCATAGGTCACTTTTCCAGTGCTATTGTCACTTCAAACAGTCAGTAAATGAGTGGCTGTAAATGAGCATTTATAGGTCCTACTCACCCTTTCAGTGTATTCCTGAGTAATATAAACTCCAATGAGAATGGCTGCAATAATTACTGTAGTCAGAAGCACCAACACCGAGGAGATGAGAATCACTTGCTTCCTGTCTTTTGGAATTTTGGGGATAAACTTGTATGCCTGGGGAAAGAGTCAGCGGCTTAGCTGGTAGACGGAGGTTCGGAAGAATGTTATCGTACCCCTTCCCAAATCTCACCCAGATTTTCCTTCTTAGGTGGCCATTTATACGGGAAACAAAAGAGCACCGAATTGCAGAAAACTACTTCTGCACACCCAACCATTTATGTAAAACTGGACTCCCGTAATAACCTGAGCAAAGTGGAATGATCCTTTCTTAATACGACCATAATTAAACCCAACATTTATGTTGCTAAATGAAAAACCTGCTAAGTGAGTTTTGCTTCATTTTATGACCTTCCTTGCCACATTTGTTAAGTGAATCGTCGCAGTTGTTAAATTAGTCACCCGGTTGTTAAATGAATCTGGCTTCTCCATTGACTTTGTTTGTCAGAAGGTCGCAAAAGAGGATCACAATGAACCCGGGACACAACAACCGTCATAAATATGAGTCAGTTGTCAAACATCCAAAGGTAAATCATATGACCATAGAGATACTGCAATGGTCATAAGTGTAAAAACTGGTAATAAGTCACTTTTTTCAGTGCCGTTGTAACTCTGAATGGTCACTAAACAAACTGCTGTAAGTCAAGGATACCTGTAAATAATATTACATATTAATAGGAAATAAGGAATAATCCCTTGAAATAATGACCAGCTAGGAAAGGCAAGGGTTGAGCAAATTATCTTCCTTTTCAACATAAATAACTCAGGGTTGTGTTATGAATATAACTGTGTTATGAACATATTCATTCTAATCTTCACTTGCTTTGAGTGCTTATTCTCCACCCAACTGCTTTGGATAGATGATTAAACTAAGAAATACATTTTTTTTTCATATTGATACTCAACAGCTCTTTGTCAACCCCTCTTCTTCCCTGTCACTCCCCTCCCCAAGAAATTATGGATAAATTTGATTTGATTAGAGCAATTTGATTAGAACAGAGAAGCCCGTTTGATTAATTAGCATTCGTATGACACAAAAAAAAAAATCCAGAAGTTAATAGTGGTGGGACAACTGTTCAAAAACACAAAAAGTGATTTTAGCAATAGCACTTTAATTTGCACTATGGTATTCTTTATATCTCTCATCTGCCAAATGCAGTTTCCCAATTTGATCATTAGAACCAAAAATAAATCAACTTACTGGGGGTTCGGGTGCTGCGTTAGCTTCACAGTTTGTTTTGATATTCATTCTGGTGGCTTGTGGAGCAAATACTTCTAAAGTTACCTTTAGTTTGCTCGTTTTCTTTTGTAGAGAGACCTAAAGAGTTGTGTGTGTGGGGGGGTCAAAGGGTCTTGACAAAATAGCTGAGAGAAATGTGATCACCCCTCATTTTACCTGGCCTGGAATGTCACTATCTTCAGCTAGAGGCAAAGTGTCCATTTCACCTTCATACAATTTGAAAGCAAAGCAAGAAAACCAGAATGCTCACATTTTTTAAATATAGCTTACTAGGAAAAGAGGCAAAACCTGTGAAGAGACCCCCTAATCTGGGAGGTTGTTTCTCTATCTACCCCCCCCTTCTCGTATTATTTGAGAAGAGGACAACAAAAATAAAAGAAGGTGTTGAGACGTAACGTTCAACCACCTTTTGGCAATCCCATCGCCTTGTTTCTGCACAGAAGTTCCAAGCTATAAGAGGAATCATTCTGCATAAGAAGCACATTAAAAAAAAGAGAGAGAGAGTAAAATGGGAAAGAGAAAGGGAAAAAAGTGACAAAGAAAAAAAGGGGATAGAAGAAAAGGAAATAAAAGAACAGAAAACAAAAAGAAATATGAAGAAGCAACTTCCGTGCTTTTCCTCTGCAGTTATACACGCAATTCTAATCAAACCTCTTTCTCTAAGATTACACATTTCCTTTCTTTCTGAACTTATTCTTGCTAATATTAAACCTTAAGCCCTAAAACTGTTTTCTTTTTATGCGAAAACATTCATAAGGGGTTTTCAGTCATTGATGAATATTGATAATAACTTATAATTGATAATCAAACAAATGAGTTTGGCTATCTCAACAAGTTCTGTCAATTTCACCAACCATTTCTCCAGACTGTTGAATCTTTCCAGCTTTATGCATATAATAGTCTGCAGTAGTAGACTATGCAGTAAACACATATTGAAATAATCTTCCATGCCTCTTTTCTAACTGTGTATCCATATGTCCTAAAAGAAAAGATCAGGCTTCAATTGAATTTTAATCTTTACAATTCTCTGTTGGTTAGTGCTCAGCATTAGCAATAGCAACAGCACTTAAACTTACATACTTTCCATAATGCTTTGCAGTACTCTCTGAGCAGTTTACAAAGTCACATATTGCCCCCAACAACCTGGGTCCTCATTTTACCAACCTCAGAAGAATGAAAGGATGGTGAATTTGTGAATGCTGAAGGTGTTCAAGTGGTGCTCCAGATGTTTGGGGATTGCACCCATCCTTAGCAAATACTGATTCAGGTTTGGGGGCTGGGCTAATGTTAGTCAAGGCTGATTCACGATCTGCAGCTCTGAAAAGGTTATGCCTTTTAATAAAATATGTTAGAGTAAGTGCTGCCAAACCTGTTCTTAATATATATCCAGGTAAAACACTTTTATTCGCTTTCTAGAGATGGGCTGTACGAAAACAGCATTTGTAAGCAATCTCCCTGTCTCATTTTTATTTTTAAGATTATTTGCATTTTAAAAAAAAGTGATGCAGAGTTTCACGTCCAAGACTACCTGTAAATTCCAGAGAGGTCTCATTGGCATTCAAATGAAAGTAAAAACAGTGAGGACAGACAAACAACTTCTTGATTCAGATGGATCTGCAGGAAAAAGACCACACAAAGATAAGATAACCTTTTTTGTCATTTGCATAAAAATGAGCACACTGGCCCACATTAAAAATGAAATTCTGTTGCTTGCTCTCAAAAGCAGGTATATCTCTACACATACCCATATATAACACACAAATACACCTACCACATACGTACATACATACATACATACATACATATGCAGTATATATATATATATATATATATATATATATATATATATATATATATATATATATATATATATATATATATATATATATATATATATATAT